TCCAGAGTGCTGGGGTTACAGGAAACCATCACAACCACCTAGCATTTACATGGATCCTGGGACCCAAATTCCAATCTTCTGTTTACAAGGAAAGTGCTCTGTCCATTCATATGTCCTCAGACCTGAGTGTGAACTTCTAGTGTTTTAGGAGATGATGGAAACTTGGGATTTTATAGCTAATTTCATTTTACAAATATATTCCTTGAGACACAACCTTAATCCCCAATTTAAACAACATGCCACCATTTAAATGAAATTCACTAGCATCAATAACTTTATAGGAATGTAATAGTTCAGACATTTCAACAAATGTCTTCAAAACTGAACTAAAAAGGGGCTGGAGAGATGCTCAGTGGTTAAGAGCAGTCACTGCTATTCCAGGGGACCCAGGACCCATGGCAAAACGCCAATGCACATAAAATAAAAATAAATAAATACCTGAGAACTTTAACTAGAAAGGCCAAGAAAACGGGTACTATGGGTTGCCTTTGTACGCTGCAACTGTGTGTTGCTTCTATTAGTTGATTAGTAAAACTGTTTTGATCAATGGCCAGGCAAAACGTAGTGAGGTGGGAAATCCCAACAGGATTAGGGAGAGAAAGAAGGTGAAGTCAGAGAAATGCCATTAGTCGCCAATGGGGTAACATGCTGGAACATTACCAGTAAGCCACAGCCTCATGGCAATACATAGATTGATAGAAATGGGTTAATCAATAAGAGAGTTAGCCACTAATATGTCTGAGCCATTGGCCAAACAATTGTTATCGATATTAGGTCTTGGAGTGTTATTTCATAAGCAGATTCGGGGACCCAGTAGTCGGGAGATCAGGTGAGGCAGAAAAAAATCTTCCAACTACACCCAGGTGGTTTCTAAGATCAAAGACGACTTCTCCTTTAAACTTAAAAAAAAAAAAATCTCAATTGTATCCTCATATTTTGATAAACGGGCTTCTTTAAGGTTCTTACCTTTGACCTTTGATAAACCTTTGGCTTTTATTTGTATAAGTGATGGGAAGTATGTATACATGTATGAGTAAATAGAGAATTTTAAGTATGACTTTTAGATAGTAAACATCAAACTAAGATATAGTTTTAACTTTAAAACCATAAATCTCATTTTTTAAGCTTATGTGCACATGTGTGAACCTTCATGAATGCATGCATCATTTGCATGTAGGAGCCCACGGAGGCTGGAAGCGGATATCAGATCTTCTGGAACTAAAGTTATAGGCAGGAGGTTGGGAGCCATCCTGTAGGTGCTGGGAACTGGATCTACCATGTCCTCTGCAAGAGCAGTAAATGCTTTTAACTGCTGAGCCATCTCTCCAGCCCCAGCTAATCTCATCTTTAAATGTTGGCAATGTATTAAACATTTTAAAATGTCTGTAAAGGTCAAACATGACACATCATATCTATGCACCAGATTTAGTCCACATCTGGCCAGTTTGAGGCCTCTGCCTCCTTCCTGTTAGCCTAATTTAGATGTTCTAAAATTTAATTTGATTTGATTTTTGCACTGCCTGCTCAAAAAAAAAAAAAAAAAAAAAAAAAAAAAAAAAAAACTTCCATGGCTTCTGACTATTAGATAAAACCTTAACTTTATTACTCTCCCTTTAAGGCAATCCAGGACTAGAGCCAAGGTCCTATACACTATTCCCACCATACAGTCTCCATTTACCATAACAACCACATCCATTGGACCAGACTCTTGGCATAGAAATTTCTAGAAAACTCGGGTGTTTCTTGTTCCCAGGGTTTTACTTTCTGAATTGCCCTCTACCTGTAACTTCCCTCCACAGAGTCTTGCCCATCCTTAAGTGTCCACCTGAGACACCATTTTCCTCAAAGGCATCCTTGACCTAGCTACAGGCATTTATATTATCAACATGACACCGCAGATCTCTTGGAGGTACATACACCTTCCCAGACACCTAATAACATTCCTGAAAGAAATGCTTGGGGGCTGGAGAGATGTCTCAGAGCTTAAGCGCACTGGCTGCTCTTCCAGAGGTCCAGAGTTCAATTACCAGCAACCATATGGTGGCTCACAACCATCTGTAATGAGATCTGGTGCCCTCTTCTGGCATGCAGGCATATATACAGACAGAATGTATACATAATAAATAAATATCCAAAAACATTTGGGTCTTGGACTACAATGAATATTCCCACAGTGCTTTGTATACACAGCCAGCCCAGCAAACATCTCAGAAACATATTATCTTTTTGCACTGAAAATGTGTGAATACAGAACTCATCACATCTAAACTTCCAAAACAGAACATGTTTTTCCCCCCCAAGTGGGAGCTGTCAATTTCCTAACAGCAGTGGCTCCTCGGGATGCCCTCCACAGACTTTCTGCTCCAGGCATTCTTACATCTGTCTCAGACACTGACACCTCTAAGAGGGCCCTGTCCCATGAAAGCTCTTCAGGGGGCATCAGTGCTTTCCAACAGAAGAAGGCTAATCAGTAAGACCTGATGGCAATCTCTGTGAAAGCAGAGAGCTAGCTGGGCAAGCAGCAAATAGAAACTGTGCAAGTATTTCAGATGTGACAAAATGGAGGGAACCATCAAACAGCCACTTCTAGCCCTGCTGTTTGTTCTCGGTGCTAATCATGACTCTGGGGGACTTGGGAACTCAGACCTCACACTTGTTTTGTTTTGTTTGGAGCTGGATCCCATATTCAGCCATCTCTCTGTTCAGTCCACATCAAAGGGGAAAAGCTAAATTCCATTTTACTTTTACTGTCCTAGACAGCACTTGAGGCACTCACAAAAATGTCCGTGAGTTTTAAAATTCAATTTTTACTTTTCCTTGAAACAAAGGTAATTGTCTTTTCAGAAGCAAGCAAAAGGGTAGAAATACTATGGCTTATAAGAGCCAACTCTACAGCAAAGGAGAACCAGCCTACAGTCTACAATCCCATAGCAGCCAGGTAACAAAGAGGACCCTAAGAGAGACATACATGGGTTCGTCTAGGAAGGGGAAATAGACAGGATCTCCTGAAGACCTTCATCCAGTAACTGATGGAAGCAAACACAGAGATCCACCACTATCCACTGGTCCAAGCTTCTGGAGTCCAGTGGAAGAGAGGGAGGAGTGATAATATGAGCAAAGGGATCAAGATCATGATAGAGAAACCCACAGAAACAGCTGACCCAAACTAGTGGGTCAGCTCACTGACTCCAGACTGACACTGGGGAACTTGCACAGGACCCAACTAGTCCCCCTGAATGAGGCTTGGGCAGTTTGTGGGGCCACTCACAGTGGAAGCAGGAGCTATCTCTAATGCATGAACTGGCTTTTTGTAGACCATTTCCTAAGGAGAGATATCTTGCTCAGCTTAGACATTGGGGGGGGGGGCGGTGTGTGTGGCTGGGCTGGGCTGATCCTGCCTTAATGTGTGGTGATGGGACAGAATACCAGAACTGGTTGACTCCCCATGGGAGGCCTTACCCCCTCTGAGGAGCAGATGTGAGGTGAGATGAGGGGAAGGTGGGGGGAGCAGAAAGAGGGGAGGATTAGTATTAAAAAAAAAAAAAGTTCCAACTCTCCACACTCATGGAGTGTGGAGCCTTATCTCAAACCAATAAGAGATGTCAGTTTAGTAGTGCCAATTAGTATATTCCAGGTACACCCTTTCTGACTTGTATAACTGTGTACTATCAAGGGCAGGTTAAGCCTTGCAAACATTTATGTCACATAATCTGCGCTTGGGAGAGCCAAGGCAATTAGGAATTGCAGGAAATGTTAAAGGAAATGAATGACTGCATAAGGTCTCTCTGTGAAAACAGTGCTCTGCTGTTATGAATGATGTCATGGCTGGTCACATCGAATCATTTTAGCAAGAGCAGAGCATTCATTCTTAAACTTTCATTGGGACTGTGTCTATTACAAGCATAACATATAACGAGGAAGTCTCCATAAAAAGAAAGTCTGTTCAGTGTAATTCTATGGGTAGAAGCAAGGAGAAATGGGACAGGTCTCCCAGCAAACCCCTTCCCCAGTTTATTATCGTTTTGTGACAAAACAGATTTAAATTCAAATTAGTAAGGTAGACTAGGCTTATTTATGCTTTATACAAATCACCTCTGAGTTCAGAAGCTAACATCCCAGATAATTTTCAAGAGCAAAAGAGATCTAACCCTTTGATTAGTGGTTAAAAACTCCACTTAGGACAACAGTAACAAAATCTTATGGATGCATTCTTGTAAAAGGAAGAGCCCCATGGCTTTGTTACTGTGCAAGAACAAAGTAACCAGCTTAAGACAACTGGAAGCCTGAAGCTTACTCCGTGAAAGCTCCCTTGCCCAACTTGAAAGAATATGAGCATTGCTAGAGGCAGAGCTGGAGGAGAGCTTTTCTCCTCTCCCTGATCTTGGGGCCATCCTGAAGTAAATCAACCTCTTTTGATGCTCATATATTATATAACCTCCAGCACAAACCCGTGCTGTTTTAACTGACAGTGGTGTTTTCCCAAAGGGCAAGCGATGAAGACCTGCAGCCTGAGAATGTCAGTGTTTCTCGCAGGGAAGGGCGATGCTGAGACCTTGGGACACAACTCTGCACAGAGTTGACATCTGGGAGGCCCTTAATGGGTTTCTGCTTCTGGAAAAGGTGTCGCTTCTTTTTTTTTTCTTTTTCTTTTTCTTTTTTTCTGTTTGAGCTGTGAAAGGAACCTGGGGTGAAAATAAATAAGGAGAAAGCCACTCCCATAGCCCTCAGATCCTTGCAGAAGGGGAGCCCAGGTTCCTGATTGGGGGCTGAGGGGCGCAGAGGCCCACGAGTGAGGCCGGGAGCACTCTGGGGGTCTGCTGCTCGGCTGAGTGGGGAGGGAAGGAGGGAGATGAACGTGTGGCGGTGTCACATGTCGGCTCTGCCCACTCGCAAGGCCGCTGTCGCGCGGAGAGCCGGCAGGAAGGCGCCGGCCGAGGCCTGGAGCCTCTGCGGGGCCTGCGCGGAGCTGCGCCTGCCTGGTGCGCGGGCGGCGGCCTTACCTGGTTTCTGCGGTACCAGGCGCTCGACAGCGAGCCGTTGCCCGGGCCCGGCGCCCAGTATGTGAAGTTCCGAGACAGCTCATCCAGGGCGGCCGAGGGGTCGTCCTCGGGGCCCGCGGGCACCGGCGTCGCCATGAGGGCTGGCTCCGCGCGCTGGGCTCCGGTGCCGCGCCACCCCGCCCCGCCGCTCCTCCGCAGCCGCCGCCACTTCCTGCCCAGCGACAGGGCGCGGGCACCTGGTTCCCGCGGCGCGCAGGTGCGGTCGGGGCTCGGCCGCGTCTCCCTGCTCGGCCTCGGTGTCCACACCTGTCAGCGCAAGAATGAGGTCATCAGCCCCTTTGCCAACGGGATCTACTGTGCACACAGCAAATGTTTGTCCAAGTGCACGGAGGAAAGGAGCCATAGGTCAACCCAAAGAGTGACCGGCGCCCTTGGCAATCCCACTTCTCGCTCGCTCATAGAAGGTCTAAAATGGTCTACATATTGGGAAAAGAAAAGTCATGATTCCCATCCCCTCCCCAGTATTGTGAGCAGTGTGGGATTTAAGAGCCCAGCAACTGACTGAGCCTTAGGAATATTGCTAGAATAGAGAAGGGATACCCACCCCATGGCAGCTGAAGGACCCCAATGTGTACGCAGTGACTGAATTGGCTTTCTGTCAGATGGGTTTACAGAGATGGCTGAAAAGCTGCTATACATAAAGATTTAGGTTGAGGCAGAAATGCTAAGAAGAACCTTAAGAGCTCATACGGGCTATTCTGGTCTGACCTGTTTTTAACTCTGTGTGCCACACTACAAATGATCTCTCTGCAGCATCTCTCACTTTGAGCCATCTATGATTTTGTGCTGTTGTCTGAAGTGTCTGCACTTGGAATTCTTTTGTTTACAGGGGCCTTGGGATTCTTCTGAAGCAACACACTTCAGCTTCCACACACACACACACACACACACACACACACACACACACACACACGGGGGGGGGGAGGGAGGGAAGGAGAGAGGGAGGGAGGGACAGAGATTCAAGAATAGAATCCAGCCTAGCTGGGACCTGGGTGAACGCTGCTGCAATGGTTTCTTAGGGGAGATATGTGAATGAGACAAGAAAGGTGTGAAAAAGACATTTCAGATTCAGCAAAAACAAGGGAAGTCATCAAAACTGTTGTGTTGTTTCCTGCTCGGGTAACCAAAGTGTTGAGTCCAATAATTAATAATTGTAGCTACTATGCTCAATTTAAGGAAACTAATTTGTTTTAAACAAACATCCGAAGGAAAGATACCCATGAGCTATATTTCATTATTTTCATAAGTATATGATGCTGGGCATTGGACCCATTGCCTTTTGCATGCTAAGCAAGCTCTCCACCCCGCTGAGCCCTTATGCCTGTCATGTGATTCTATGAAGTCACTTCCATTCTGCTTTGCCATGCCTGGAATCCACCCACCCTCTAGAAGAAAATGTTTTCCCAGAATCTCCAACCTCCACAACCCATCATCTTTCCTCCTTTGACCCCATTGGCCGGGAATAGGTCACATGCCTGATTTTACCTGCAAGTGATTCTTGGGCATTTCCAGCCTGGAGAGTAGGATGCGAGCTGTCAGAAGGAAGAGAACAAGGATGGGTGGGGTGGCAGAGGGGAGCTAGCAGAACTGGCACGATCACTCGCTAGTATTTTCTGTCAGCCAGATTGTAGGTAGGCATGCAGTCTCTAACAAGCAAAATACTAAACAGATCGACTCTCTTGTTCTCAGTATGCCTCAAAGCCTCCTCCCCCACAGACAGTAACTTTCCGGTTAACACCAGGCCCCATAATCTGCTGCACACACCTCATTCTACTTTATCTCCGAACACAGAAAATCAGCTTCGATTTCTTTATATTCGCATAAAACCTCCAATTTTGGAGGAAGCACTTGGTGGGGGGAAAGAGGTGACGTGCAGCCTACGTTATGTTGCGTGGTTGATCAATAGGTTCCAAGATGCGGCTGCTATCACGGCTGCTGTCCTAGTGTGTGGGGGTGTTTGAAAAGCAATTCGTGACCAGAGTTCCTTCCCACGGGGTTCATAGGAGGCGGCGGCAGGGATGCGTGTGAACTATTTCTGTCCCGGTGGTGTAGGTGGAGATTCGGAGACAGTTCCTGCTTTGATGGCCTCTGCCTCTTGTGGCTTCTTGGGTGAGCAAGGGAGGCCGGGAATACCGGTTCATTTTTACAGGATGTGGTCAGCCTCCCTGTCCTCGGGGGCTCCCTGTTCTCGGGCTGACTTCCTGTTAATTCTGGCATGGCACCATCTGAACCCAGGCTTCACTTAGCACTTGAAGAGTGGGTTCCATTTGGCACTTCTTATTTGGGATCATTTAATTGCAGAATTAATAAAACTTCAAAATCATCTTTAGCAAGACTCAGTTAACACTAGTTTTTTGTTGTTGTTTCTGCATTTTTGTTTGCTTGTTTACAATACGCTTCTCACAAATGAGAAGTAGAGGGTCAGAGGTAAAGAAACCCTATTCAGAGACTCACTTCCTATATGCAAGCGAATTTCAGACCAGAGATTTTAAAGAGAAAGGCAGAGCCTTAATTTTGTGACAGTAACGTAGGAAGTAAACGCCAAACAGAAGCTTGGCAGACTTCCTGTGTTCCAATTCTAACAACTGCTTGTTTGCTGTGTGGCTTTGACCCAGCTGCATCATTTCTCTGAGGCTTTCAGTCTTTTTCGTAAGAGAGAGAGAGAGAGAGGGAGAGAGGGAGAGGGAGGGAGAGAGAGAGAGAGAGAGAGAGAGAGAGAGAGAGAGAGAGAGAGAGAGAGAGACAAGGAACAGGAGAGATAGATCAGTGGTTAAGAGCACCGACTGCTCTTCCAAAGGACCCAGGTTCAATTCCCAGCACCCACATGGCAGCTCACAACTGTCTGTAATTCCAGTCCCAGGGGATTCAAAGCCTCCTTCTGGTCCCCTAGGGTACCACATGTACATGGTACACAGACATACATGTGGGCAAAACACCCCATTCAATCAAAATAAAAATAAATAAAATTGCAAAAACAATTTTAAAAAGAAGGTGAACACTTAAAACAGAAAATACTCAATAAATGCTTAAGTATTCAGTAAATGTTGGCTATTACTACCTATAACCTAAAAAAGGGAGGGGGGACAAAACTCCCTTAAATGAATAAAAAACATAAACCATAGATGGAAATTTGGCATTTAATTACAATAAAGCCGGGAACTGATGGGAGATGTCATTCTGTAAATATGTTTCTCATACTGGTTAATGAATAAAGTACTGTTGGCCAATAGGAAAGCAAGATAGGCGGGACTAGGAGACAAGGAGGAGAGAGGAAGTAGTAAGGAGGAGTCAACATGGAGAGACTGGGGAGACCAGACACCGGCCCACTCCCGGGTAAGATGAGAACACGTGGAAATACTAGATTAATAGAAATGGGTTAATACTTAAGACAGAGCTAGCCGATAAGAAACAAGTAACTGGCCAACAGAATTATATCAAATACAGCGTCTCAGTGTGTTATTTGGGGCTGGTGTGTCAGTGGGACGAGGCCAGCGGCGGGCAGAAAAAACGTACTCCTTACAGGGAACTTTTATACATCAATAAACAGTATAAAGTGTAAAAGTTGGGAACTGAGAGCCCATATTTGTCACACCTACAACTGACAAAAGAATTCAGTAGCCAGCATATACAAGTAGCTTTTATAGGCTACGTAGTAAAGTAGGCAAAAATAAAAAAGACATTTTTTTTCTTAAAGAAAATATTAATGGTTAACAACAACAACAATAATAATGCAAAATATTTTAAATCTCAATAATAGGCAGAGAAAATCCAAATTGAAACCTTCAGCAACAACCACTAACTATTCACTGGTTTGAAAAAGTAAAATTTTAAAGATTTAGATATCACACAGTACATACACAAAACAGAGTTCTATTCAGCCATCTAGAAAGTGAAATTATGTCATTTGCAGGTAAAATGGATGGAATCAGAGATGATCATGTTAAGCAAAATAAGCCAGATACAAAAAGACAAATATGACATGTTTTTCCTCTCATATATGGGTTTATTTAAATGTGTGTATTTGTGTGCTTGTATATATGCGCGAGTGTCTTCATACCACTTATGGATTGGTTCCCAAAGAAACCAGAAGAGGGGATCTTCCCTCAAACCAGAGTTCCAGGTAGTTGTGGGCCACCTACCATGGCTACTGAGAACTGAACCTTCTGTAAGAGTAGCAAAAGCCACTGGCCCATTTCTGCAGCCTGTGTGTGGAATCTTACATAAAGTGGCATGGTTGTTTATTTATGACTTACACACACCTTCTCGCATGCTTTACGTCATTTCCGTGTAAGACCGCCAATAGAAAGTGAGAGCTCTGGGCGCATTTGCATCATTGTTACTTAGGGAATAGTTTCAGACAGTGAAAGTCTGAACTTGTTCAGTTCATAAACATCATTCCCAAATATTTTTAATCCACTACAGGTTGAATACAACTATGTGGCACTTTCAGACGCAGACCCTGAAAGTGTACCCCCAAAATAAAATTAAAGTGGCCAGCAAAGCTAGGCGATTGCGTGAAGAAGTCTAAATGGGAAGCATGGAGTCACTTAGGTAGGCACTGGCGGGTGCTGTGAATAAGCCGCAGAAGCCAGGGGAGATTTAAATGGAGAAACACCAGGAGCGATGAGCTTAAGGACACAGGGAAAGCCGGGAGAGAAGGCAGTTTATGAAAGGCAACTGAGGAAGCATGGCAGGGAGGAAGGATGAGTTTTGAGCTATGGCTCAGTTGGGGTGACTGAACACAGAGGCTGCACCATTGGCTGAGGTGAAGAAGAAGAAAGAACGGGTTTAAGTTTGATTTGATACTCATGAAAAGGAAAAGGAGTGGGGTCAGAGTCAAGGGAATCAGTATGGGAGCCACCCACATGCAGGTATCTGAGACAAATTTCTTTTAGAGCAGAAGTTTGCAAACCTCTGTAAAGGGCTATGTAATAATATCACTGTTTGTGGACCATATGTTCCATGACACTATTATTCAATTGTGCCACTGCAATATGGAAGCAGCCAAGGATGTGCAAACAAGTGGATGAGACTGTGTTCCAATAAAGCTTTATTTACAAACACAGAAGGCTGCAGATATTGTCTCATGATCCATTGTTTGCCAGCTCCTCTTCTGGAAAGAAAAAAGGCAAACACACAATGAGAGGCCA